GCTTATTCCACTGAGCCATCTCCCCAGCCCTAGTCAAAGATTTCTATCAAGTAGACAGTAATGACTTCCCATAAAAATGACAAAGACAGGGTCCAGGGGACCTCAGCATCTCACATATCATTGATTTGATATCTTTTGAACAACTATTGAAACATTAGAACAATCTGGAAGGTAATAACCTTTTTAAAGTTAGTAATTATAAAAAGACTAGTCAGAATGTCTTGTAGGTACATTAGCAGAGATCTCTTAAATTTGAAGTTTAATCCCTTTTATCTTCGATGGCCATTGGTTATTGTCTCAAATAAACTGGCCTACTCTTATGTCTCACCAACTCTCCCATTACTAGGGGTACATGAATTATCAGACCTAGGGAAAACACTGAGTACTCTCCAGTTTGCAAGTGGGCCCCTGGCTGGGTAACTACTGACAAATCTGCATAAGCATCTATTAAAAGTTTAACAGGCTTTCTCCTTGTATTGGCAGTTAACATGGGTTTCCTCAGGCTGAGAAGGGAAGACCCATGACCACCTCAGTCTGAAACTTCCTCTGACTCTATCATAAACACTTTCTTTTTTTTCTTCTCTAGCAGTTTTGGACATTTCTGCTTGAAATGTCAGTTCTGTCTGTCTGGATCCAGGGAAGCATAACTTTTTCCTGTTTCCTGACTGGCCTTCTTTCCTGTAGGCTGCTAGTATCACCATTCTCATTTTCCATCTATAATTCCATTCTGTTTGCTTTCTGCTATGAAGCACCTCAACTGAGACCAATTCATTCCTGCAAACCCTTGTAACTTCTGCAGTTTGTGTCAGACATCTGGGGCCCACTGAGCAAGATACAACTTTTTAGTTTTAAGGCCTCCAACAGGCAACTCTGCCCAAGGAACTCTGCCCACTTCCCCTGTAGTGAATTTCTTAACATAGGATTAGACTGATAGAGGAAGCATCTTTGAGGGCAATCAGCTCTGCCCAAGGAGTGTGAAGATAGCGTCCCTTGTAATAAGGCAGGAAACCCTAGAAAAGGCTCAGCTTACCTGGGCTGTATGAGGTGGACACTTAAGGCCTTACTATGTCTCTATAGACAAAAATCTGGTGGTTCCAGTGAAAGGAATCTAAATGTAATCTAGCATATTTGCTATAGGTTTTACCTGCATAATCACCTGGTTTTGCTATCTTCTAAGAAAGAACAAATTTTCTGAGAAAGTAGAGCACATATAATCAAAGCATGAACATTCGAGCTAACAGGTAAATGTATGAACTTTTTTTTTTTTTTTTTTGCGGAACCAGGGATTGAATTTAGGCCTTTGTGCTTGCTCAGATTCTACTGAGCTATCTCCCTGGCCCCTTAAACTTTGTTGAGGCATAGCCATTGTAACTCACTAGCTCTTAGACCCCTTTATTTATGGAGACTGACAGTTTGCTGTACATCCCTCTAGCTTTAGTGAAGAGAGGTCACCTGTATTAACTATCAACATGAAATACCTAAGTTACATCAGAAATCAACCAGATGAACTTATATACCTCTCGTGAAATACACAGCATTTAGTCAGATTAAACTAATGTCCCATTCAGTGTTTTGGGACAGTGCTATGTGTTACTCAGAATAGGAACCAGATCAGCCAGATTGGAATTTGGAAAGCCGTTTATTACTGAACTCAGGGCCCCCAGTCTGCTCTCACACAGGAGAGGACCAAAAGGCAGCTAGCCCAGGAAGCAGGGGGCTTTTAAAACATGAAACCACATTTGTTTGGTAAACAAATTCATTGACACAAAACAGTGCTTTCAGGGTCATTGTGACCACTACTCAAACTAAATTTCCTGGGGCTTTGTTTGAGTTTCTGGTTATCTTGCACCTGAGTAAGTACCTGCAGGCAATCTTGCATAGCCCAAGGTTAGAAGTTAAATCCCATTTAGTTTCCTTTTGAGGTCCACTATTTACTAAACAACTTAGAATAGTGGTGAGTATACATTTTTACACAACAGAAAACACAAGATTTACATTTATAATCTAAAATGTGAGTTGACCCATTACATTATGGTCCCCATTGTAATCAAGGGGCACTGGGAAAGGATTTCTCCTTTTAACACTGTGGCTTTGAGTTTTATGTCACAAATACAAAGCCTGGCTCTGTCTATAGGCCCAAAGCTATTGGACAGTGTGTAGCCAGTGTCTTCAGAACTTTTTTATGCTGACAGAATTTTGTGTCCTTGGGAACCTGTTGTAACTAGTGAAATACTTTTTTAAGTCTTACATGAACAACAATATATATTACATTTGCAAAACAGTCTCAGAATCATCTTGATTAGTAAGCAACCTGAATATATTGTAGTATCTCAGTTACAGCTAAAGCAGTGTATCTTCTGAAGTCTTGTTTCTATTGAGGTATAATGATTGGAAGGAAGGTCAATGTTGGAGAAGGACAAAGAGACCTGTGCCAATGTCCAGCAATAGGCTGTGTTTTTTCCTTTAGTCGTGATTATCCAGGGCTTCTCCGTGGAGATGGCAGGTAGAAATAACAGTCTGGCCAGAGAGAGGAGGCAGACCCAGAGCCCTTCAGTCCTAATGGACCACCTAGGAAGCTGAGTCTCAGCTCAGCTGAGACTGCCTCCACTGCAGAGTGCAGTCTCACTTCTAGTGGCTGCCTTGGCAGTCAGGGCATGGCTTGTGAGGCCTCTTAAGGCAGTCCCTGTTATGCTGGCCTGCTTCTGAAAACAGTAGCAGATGAACCTCATTAGCAGATGAAACTCATTGTCATTGAGCTCTTCTTGGAGCCCAGAGAATCAGACTTAGGGTCTGTATTAAGGCTGCAATAACAGCAGCCCAGCCATTTTTAATCTCATTTTTGATCCATTCCTGATTTTCTCCTAGTCCTGATTAGAGGAAAATTGTTTCGTTAGTGCTCTATAAAATATCAAGTGAATTGTCTGGAGCAAAAACTATCTTTTGTAGCTCTTTTCTACTATCTGGAGCTGAGTAATGAACTTATCAGTAAGAACAATCTATCCTACTGAATTAGGATATAGGGAAGTATGCTTTACCAGTGCCTCTGTTAAACATTCTAAGAAATCGGGGGGGGGGGGGGGAGTGTTTATCTTTCTCCTGGTCAAATTCAGTAACTGAAGGTTTGGTTCTAGTTCTGGGCCTTTCAAGAATACACACTTGAAAGAAAAATGTCCTTTCTAGTTTCTTGCCTGGCTGTTAGGCCACCAGGAGTCTACTTGGGCTCCAGTGGGAACAGGTAGTTCCACTGATTGTCTATCTTTTGGTCTTTGAAAATTAACAATATGATATTCATCTCCAAATGCAATAGCAGCTTGTAATTGCTGCCTTTCATTAGAGGTAAAAGCTTGGTTTAAGATTAACATTACAGGGCTGGAGAGATGGCTCAGTGGTCTAAAGCACCTACTTGAAACAAGCTTGGCAAAGCACAGGGACCGCGGTTCAATCCCCAGCACCACATGCCAGCCAGACCCGCCCCCTGGTGGGCTGAGCTGGCCACACACACACACACAATAAATAAATGTAATAAATAAAAATAAATATTAAAAAAAAAAAAAAAAGATTAACATTACATCTTTCCAATCTAGTTCATAAGTCTGAGTAATTGTCTAAAGACATCAGTGTACTTATCAGGGTCATCAAAAGATCTTCCAAGATCTGACTATCTGTTTCAGGTCACAGAGAAAAAGGCACATTAACTCTGGAAGTTCTAAATTGCCTATTTACTTCTTTAAAGGGTATTCTTGAAAAGCTTGCATAAACTCGGCTAAGGATGGGTGTAGCCTTGTAGAGGCCTTGATTATAGCTGTTTTAGAAGCCCACCCTCTAGACTAGAAAGGGGAAACCTTACTTTCTGTAATGGTGGGCAAGGCTGTGCTTAATGCTATCTTGTCCATGGGCTCAAAGGTAGTGAATGCCTAAGGCACCTGAACTGCCTGGTTCTCCTGTAGCTCACATCTACGTTTCAAAACTAGGCAACAGTGACTTTTTTTAATGCAAACAAAATCTCACCATTTTGCTTCTACAGTATTTTAGTTATGGTGTCATAACTGATACGTCCTCTGTATTCCGTTTTGGCTCTAAGGGGCACATAAGCCACACACATGTGCAAAAAAATAATGAATTTTTTTCAGTGTATGAATCAAAGCATTCTAAAGGAGTAAGAGACTTTGACTGTGAAACTCCCATAATCTGGAATGAAAGAGTTTTGGATGTCTCCACCTTAACCTCTAATTGATTCCTCCTCAAGGCTTCTAGGATTACAGGCATGTGCTTGTGAGATGATGTGACTTCTAATTTTTGAAGTGCTGTTCATCTAGCTGAAACCTGTATTAAGGATTTTTTTTTTTTTCCTTTTTTCCCCTTGTATTTTAGGGAAGGGTCTATACAGGGTGTTCAGGGTCTCAATATTAGATGAGACTCATAATCTTATCTACAGCCTCCCAAGTGCTGGGACCACAGGCTCACACCACCACGCCCAGTCTCACTTGCCTTCTCAGTGTGCCCTGGGGGTGGGGCCAGCAAGGGATTTAATTTTCAATGAAATATAAGTTCGAAAAGTTAATAAAGTTTTAAATATCAGCTCATGTGAAGATGTTATTTGTGTTTAGCATGTTCAGAAAAAGGCTGCAGAATGGAAAATCAAGATTGATATTATTGCAGGTAAGATAAATCTCAACCCTAATTATCTGAAAGGGCCAACATATACTAACCCAACCAAAATGTTTATGTAAGTAATAAAATACACCGCTCTATGGTGTTTTTCATTGTGGTGAATGTGTCTGATTGGTAATGGACTGGACATGGAGAAAATATAGAGCAAATATTCAATTTATGGGTTTTACTGATTTTTTTTTTCCAGTACTGATTGAGCTCAGGGTCTTTGCACTGTTCTCTATATGCTCACCCCCCCTTTTTTGAGATAGGGTCTGTCATTAACTTGCTCCAAATGGGCTCAAATTTTGAATCCACCTACCACAGCCTCCCAGAGTAGAGATTACAGCTCTGTGCCATCACACCTGGCTTGCAAAAAAAATTTATAGCACTCAGGGTTTGGTTACTCCAGTCATGTACCATAAATGAGTGGGTGGTGTTGCATGTCTATACTCCCAACACTGGGAGGCTGAGGCAGGAGGAGCCCTGAATTCAAGGCCAACAGGGGCTACAAAGTGAGTTCAAGGCTTGCCTGAACTACACAGAGAAACCCTATCTCAAAAAGACAAAACTCAAGAAAGCCATACCCAGTTTGTCACTGCCAATCTTGAAGCGGTGTCAGTTATCATATTAGCACTTGGGGAAATGCTGAACTGACAGGCCTAAAAACCATTAAGCCTACACGCATTTAGTATTTTCATTTAGTTTTGTTTTTAGTTAAGAGCAGTGAATGTCAACTTTTATTTTTATACGGATTTTGTTTTACAGAGCTTCGATATGACCTGCCAGCGTTATACAACTTTCATAAAAAGAAATCAGTAAGTCTCTTGATTCTGGCCTGTCTAGCATTTAATACTGAAAAACTATATACAAGTAAATATTTCTACTGTTATCAAGTTGCCTGGGTAAATATAGAAAAGCCAGCCTCAGAGTAGCTATTATGAAGTGTTCTGAGAAGCCCAACATGGGTAATGCATACCCATAATCCCAGCACTTG